ATGGCAAGCGCACGTCGATCAGCAACCCGCCAGGTAGTAATTTTCGTGGTGTAGTCTGCAAGTTCTGCAGTGTAGGTGTCCAGGTCCTCCTGGTACTTGTTGTAGCGGGCAGCGGCGTCGTCATAGATGCGCCTGTCATCCTCGTAACGCAGTTGCAGGCGCAGGTGCTCTTGGAGATTGGTGCGGTAGGTGCGAATGGCGGTTTCCGAGCTCTGCGTGTCGTTCACATTCGGCGCAAAGGCGGGAGGATCACCGGGGGGAGAGGGCTCGGCGCCAGGGTGGGCAGGGGGAGGTCCAGTAGGAGCGGTGGGGGCCGCGGGCTGAAGTCCACCGCCTTCCTGAAAGACAACCGAGCGAAGGTTGTAGCCGCTGACCACAACAGAGGAGAGGAGCACCTCGACGGAATGAGCATAAGAGTGCCAATTAGCAGCGGAGTTGTCAGGCAGCAACTCGAGTGCATCAACAGTGGCAAGGTCGACGGAAGAATCGGACGACGATGCCATAGAGATGAGGGTGGGTCGAGGCTAGGGCAGGAGGAGGATGGTGTGAGGGTACCGTTGCCAGTGCTGCTGCTGGCCCTGCTGCCCGTGCCGCTGCTGGTTCTGCAGCTGGTGCCGCTGCGGATGCTGCTGCGGGTAGGATGGGAGGAGGAGGAAGGGAGGAGCGGAGGGTGAGGAAGGTGGAGGAGGAGGAGGGCGATGCTATGGGGGATGCAAGGGGGAAGGGTGCTGCTGGTGGTGCCGCTGCAGGTGCTGCTGCTGGTGCTGCTGCAGGTAGGATGGGAGGAGGAGGACGGTGGATGAGGAGGGCGATGCTATGGGGGAGGCAAGGGGGAAGGGTGCTGCTGGTGGTGCTGCTGCTGGTGCTGCTGCTGGTAGGATGGGAGGAGGAAGGGAGGAGCGGAGGGTGGGTTGGGTGGAGGAGAAGGAGGGCGATGCTATGGGGGAGGGGCAGATCTGGGCGCGCGGAGGGCAGATCTGGGCGCGCGGAGGGCAGATCTGGGCGCGCGGAGGCCAGATCTGGGCGCGCGGAGGGCTGATCTGGGCGCGCGGAGGGCAGATCTGGGCGCGTGGAGGGCGGATCTGGGCGGGCGGAGTGCAGATCTGGGTGCGGGAGGAGGAGATCTGGTGGCGCGGAATCCAGATCTGGGCGCGGAATGATCAGATCTAGGCGCGGGAGGAGTAGATCTGGTCGCTGGAGGTGCAGATCTGGGCGCTGGAGGTGCAGATCTGGGCGCTGGAGTTGCAGATCTGGGCGCTGGAGGTGCAGATCTGGGCGTTGGAGGTTCAGATCTGGGCGCTGGAGGTGCAGATCTGGGCGCTGGAGGAGGAGATCTGGTGGCGCGGAATCCAGATCTGGGCGCGGAATGATCAGATCTAGGCGCGGGAGGAGTAGATCTGGTCGCTGGAGGTGCAGATCTGGGCGCTGGAGGTGCAGATCTGGGCGCTGGAGTTGCAGATCTGGGCGCTGGAGGTGCAGATCTGGGCGCTGGAGGTGCAGATCTGGGCGCTGGAGTTGCAGATCTGGGCGTTGGAGGTGCAGATCTGGGCACTGGAGGTGCAGATCTGGGCGCTGGAGGTGCAGATCTGGGCGCTGGAGGTGCAGATCTGGGCGCTGGAGTTGCAGATCTGGGCGTGCCTTGGAGGGCAGCGCCTTAGGGGGCGCACGGGGAGGGAGGACAGCGCCTAAAGGGCGCGTGAAGGGAGGGCAGCTCCGTGGGTGGGGCTAGATCTGAGGAACGGGGAGGAGAGGGTGGCCTAAGGACCGAGGGAGGAAGGCGTGAGCCATTAGCTCATGATACCATGTTGCAAGTGAGAGAATTGATGCATTGAATAATGAGCCAAGAGGCTCTTTAGTACAAACAATGAGCAAGAGAGAGATGAGAGGGAAGCTTACTCTATTGGCCAATAAGTTGGCCAATGGGTGAGCTTGCTTGTGACCCAAGCAACCACAAATGTGTGTTGGTTGGGATTGGTTGAGCTAAGGACCAATCCCAACCAACCACAAAATGTGGTTGGAGGGTACACTAAGCAACCCCCCAATTGATAAAATGTGCTACACTTCTAGCCTATGTATGTTGTATAAAATATGAAATTACAACAAATGAAAGGCCATGACACGTCATGAAATGACACGCCACGCCATGCCATGCCATGCCATGCCATGCCACCCCACCTTCCACGCAGCAGCCATCTCCAGGTCAAAGTCCATCCACCGGCTGGGCGTCAGCTCAATGCCACGCACAATATTACCATGCCACACCCATACACCATCGGCACCTTAGCGCCATACACACATCACCAGCGCCATGCCATCCGCCTTCCACGCTGCAGCCATTTCAAGGTCTAAGTCCCTCCACCGGCTGGGCGTCAGCTCAATGCCAAACATGCAAAGCATGACACCACACATCATGCAGCATGCACCAAGCAAGCACCACCATCCCACCTTCCGTGCAGCAGCAATCTCCACCGGCTGGGCGTCCACTTGTTACCAACCACGAAAATTCCATCCCACACACACACACCATCAGCACCATAGCACCTTACACACACCATCAGCACCATAGCACCTCACACACATCATCTGCACCATCCCACCTTCCACGCTGCAGCCATTTCCATGTCAAAGTCTCGCCACCGGCTGGGCGTCAGCGGCGTGCGAATTGCAAACTCCTGCCCGGGGTCGCTGTGAAAAAGGAGGGGGATCGGGGGGGGGAAGGGAGGGGTTGGGAAGGAAGAGATGGAGAGTGAGAGAGAGTGAGCACGGCATCACTGTGAGTAATGTGAATTGCTAACTCATGCCCGGGATCGCTGTGATAGAGAAGGGAGGTAGGCGAACTGGAGTGGTGCTTGCATCGCATGGTGGCATTGATTGCTGCTACTTGTGAGGCAGCGAGCGGCAAGCAGCAAGCCGCGAGCATATATATAACCCATATAAATAGATAGATAGATAGAATGTTTCGTGCGTACGTGCGTGCATATGTGTCTGTGCCATGTGTGTTTGTGCGCGTGCCGCACTCACACGTGCGTTTGTGTGTGTGCGCGCGCGCAGACGTGCGTGCGTGCATGTGTGTGTGCGTGTGTGTGTGTGTGTGTGTGTGTGCGTTGTGTGTGTGTGTGTGTGTGCATGTGTGTGTGTGTGTGCATGTGTGTGCGCGCGCGCGTGCATGTATTGGAAGGCACTGATGACTCACGTGGCGGTGATTGTGAGGCGAGAGCCGTTCAGCACCTTTTGAGCCGTCATTGCATGTGAGTGTGGGTGCACGGTGCGCGCACGCTAGTGCATCTGTGCATGCAAGCATGTGGCTGAGGGCCCTGATGATGACTCACGTGGCGGTGATTGTGAGGCGCGTGCCGTTCAGCACCTTGCTGTTGGGGCAATGGCCAGGGGGGAGGGGGTGGGAGGAGGAGAGAGGTGAGAGGAAGGAGAGGGAAGGAGGGTCAGCCCAGCACAGAAGGAGGGTCAGCCCAACACAGAAGGAGGGTCAGCCCAACACAGAAGGAGGGTCAGCCCAGCACAGAAGGAGGGTCAGCCCAACACAGAAGGAGGGTCAGCCCAACACAGAAGGAGGGTCAGCCCAACACAGAAGGAGGGTCAGCCCAACACAGAAGGAGGGTCAGCCCAACACAGAAGGAGGGTCAGCCCAACACAGAAGGAGGGTCAGCCCAACACAGAAGGAGGGTCAGCCCAACACAGAAGGAGGGTCAGCCCAACACAGAAGGAGGGTCAGCCCAACACAGAAGGAGGGTCAGCCCAACACAGAAGGAGGGTCAGCCCAACACAGAAGGAGGGTCAGCCCAACACAGAAGGAGGGTCAGCCCAACACAGAAGGAGGGTCAGCCCAACACAGAAGGAGGGTCAGCCCAACACAGAAGGAGGGTCAGCCCAACACAGAAGGAGGGTCAGCCCAACACAGAAGGAGGGTCAGCCCAACACAGAAGGAGGGTCAGCCCAACACAGAAGGAGGGTCAGCCCAACACAGAAGGAGGGTCAGCCCAACACAGAAGGAGGGTCAGCCCAACACAGAAGGAGGGTCAGCCCAACACAGAAGGAGGGTCAGCCCAACACAGAAGGAGGAGACAGAGGGAGAGAGGCATGAAGGTGTGATTTGGGGAAAGGCAGGGCTTACTTGGGGAAAGGCAGGGCTTACTTGGGGAAGGCAGGGCTTACTTGGAGAAGGCAGGGCTTACTTGGGGAAGGCAGGGCTTACTCAGGGAAGGCGGTGCTCTTGCACGGGGTGAAGACGAAGAATCCTTTCTGCACGACGTCCCACAGCTGGTTAAAATTGGTTGCCTGGTCCACCTGACGTGGCAGGAGGGACGGGGATGGAAGACATGTGTCACGTCAAGGGTCATTCTGATTGATAGGTTGATGGCCATCAATCGATTTCAGTCAATTTCAATCGATTTCAACACAATTTCAGTCAATTTCAATAGATATCGATCGATTCCGATCCATTTCGATCCATTTCGATCGATTTCAGTCAATTTCAATCAATTTCAACCGATTTCAACCAATTTCAATCAATTTCAATCGATTTCAGTCAATTTCAACCAATTTCAGCCATTGAGGAGATGCTTGCATCTTGTCACATGAAAGGAGGGAGGAGAGGGTGGAAAAACGAAACAGGTGCAGACGTATGCTTTGAGTTGACTCAACATGAACTGCGAAAGATGCGGTGGTTGGAAGGCACATGTGATGTGATGCGCACAACTACTCACCTTCTCGAGAGCCTCTTGACTGAGCGGAATCTCGTCGCCGCTGGCCGTACACCTTGATTATCCTGAGACATCTCAGAACACAGCAAAGAACTTACACCTACCGACCCACCCACCTACACGACATCCCCCCCCCTCACACACATACGTGCACTCACCTTCTCCAGAGCCTCTTGACTGAGGGGAATCTCCTCGCCGCTGGCCGTACACCTTGCGTATCTTGATTCGACTCAAATCAATGCACACACACACGACCCCCCCCCCTCCTCCCCCCCAACACACTCAAGCACCACACACCTTTTTCAGATCCGCTTGGCTGAGCGGGATCTCCTCGTCGCGCTCGCCGTACACCTTGCCGTGATGCAGCATCTCCTGCCGTACGATCTTGAACGCACTGGTGGGTGGGTTGAGAGGAAGGGCGGTGAGGGAATTAAAAGGAAGACTTCTTCATGCACCTTGCCGTGATGTAGCATCGCCTGCCGTACGATCTTGAACGTACTGCTGGTGATATAAGACGGATTCGAGATTGAAAGGAGGGTGAACAGCCGACCTCGATCCATAACACCACTCATCACATCATGAGCTAAACGCTTAAAGAAAATGATTTGGTCAGGTGATAACGGATCTCACCGGTCAGCATTCATGGAGTAGCGAATGTTTCGAGTCTGCCCGGACACCATCGGCGTGACCGAACCAAACCCGGTTTCGAATGCTTCCCGCCTGCCAAAGCAGGGACGGAAAAAGAGTGAGTCGGAGTAAGGAGGAAAATCCGAGCCAGTTACGAGAGCGAGTGTAGACGTCTGAGCTGAACATTGGAACTGATTTTGAAGAGATTAAAGAATGAGTGAGTGGATGCCACTTTTGAGAACCTAGAAAAAGTGAGCCGGTGCCATGTCTTGTGCATTTGAGCAAGCGGGCATCCCAGAGTGGAAAGAAAAGCTGGTGGAGGAGACTGACCGAGAATGGTAACAGCAGTTGTGGTTGTGGATATGGAATAGCTCAAACCAGTGCCAGACAGTTGTGATTACAACGTAACCAATTCAGAGCCCCACGTGCGACTCACGTGAGGCCATCGATCCACACGATGGGGTCGTGGTTACCAGGTAACACATCAAATCAAAGAGCCCCACGTGCAACTCACGTGAGGCCGTCGATCCACACGATGGGGTCGTTAGGTTCGGCAATCTGGCGCCATCTCACTCCCATGCCGTACACGTCCCTCCACCCCACCCCCACCCCCTCCTCCACCTCCTCCGCACTGCTGCTTCTGTCCACCTGCCCGCTCTTCATCCAATCCCTCCACGCCTTTCGCACTGTCTGCATGATGTCCAGAGCAGCCAGCCCTGCTGCTCGTTGCTGGGGAGTGGGAGAGAAAGAGGGTAGGGTGGGTGGATTCTTGAGACATTGCCAGACGTTGCAACGCACGAAGCCCCTCCCCATCCCCTCGCCACGCCTTCCTCACGCCGCTCACTGTCTAACGCCAGTCAGGCCTGCTGCTCGTTGCTGCACAGAGCGGGAGGAGGGTGGATGGCGAAAGAGCGAAGGATGGGACGGAGAGTAAGGAAAGGAGATGGGAAGGGTGATGGAGCCTCGAGGTGTTGCACTGAACCAGCCGCCCAATCGCATCAGCCTGCAGCAACAGCATGTCACCGAATAGATTGTTGTTTGCAATATATTCTGTTACTCGCTAGTGTAGGTGTAGTAGGGTTAATCGAAGTACTGTAGAAGGTGAGTTTGGTGCGTGGGTAGTGACGCGAAGTGGTGACCAAGGGACTTGCGAGGCGCAGGGTGGGACAAATTCAAGGGCGAGCCCTGGGCAATCCGAAGGGCCAATCTGAAGCCTAGCGGGCGGAGCCCAATGTGACTTACGGGAAACTGCACGGCACGGGGTAGGGACTCAAATAGGCTAGAAACTCACTGCTTAGTTCGTTCTCTTGTTTGTTTGCTCGTAATAGTGGATATAGGTTGCCGTTTGATAGCTAACTCCAGCTTAGGCGACTAAGCCACTGTGGGCCGCCATACGTGGGGGAGGCAGAATCTCTCAAGGTAGTGGCTGAGGCAGAGCAGGTAAGGTATCACAGGAACAGAGCTCAGAAGAAGAAGGGAGTGAGGGTGAGTCCGGGAAGGAGAAGGCAAGCCACGGGAAGCAACAGAGGATGAATCTCCGACAGCAGCGGCACCTCTTTCTCTGACCTAAGCACTCAAGTTAGCAGATAACAGCTATCAAGGCCTCGCCTGCCGCATGTTACCAAGGAACCCCCCGTGGTGTTGACTGAACGAGCCGGCCAAGCGCATCAGCCTGCAGCAGCAGCAGCAGCAACCCTCTCTCTAAGGACTTACAGTAGCAATAGCACCCGCACACCTAACGCATGTTACCAAGGAACCCTGTGGTGTTGTATTGAACCAGCCGCCCAATCGCATCAGTCTGCAACAGCAGCAGCAGCAGCAGCACTTTCTCTAAGGACTCGTGACAGCAGTAGCACTTGCTTACCTGCCGCATGTTACCAAGGAACCCCGTGGTGTTGTACTGAACCAGCCGCCCAATCTCATCAGCCTGCTTTAGCAGCGCCGCTCGGTTCGCCTCGAAGCGCTTCTCCCCCTTGCGCCGGTGCTGCTGCCGCCGCACGCGGAACACTGCCTGAATGTCCTGCATCTGATACCCTCTGGAGGGTAGGTGCCCTGGAAACTGTGCATTCGCCCAGCCCTCCTGAAGAGACGGGGTGGGGAAGGGGATGGGTGCAGTGGGTGGGTGGGTAGTGAGGAAGCATGGGGAGCACAGGAACACTGCCTGAATGTCCTGCATCTGATACCCTCTGGAGGGTAGGTGCCCTGGAAACTGTGCATTCGCCCAGCCCTCCTGAAGAGACGGGGTGGGGAAGGGGATGGGTGCAGTGGGTGGGTGGGTAGTGAGGAAGCATGGGGAGCACAGGAACACTGCCTGAATGTCCTGCATCTGATACCCTCTGGAGGGTAGGTGCCTTGGAAACTGCGCATTCGCCCAGCCCTCCTGAAGAGACGGGGTGGGGAAGGGGATGGGTGCAGTGGGTGAGTGGGTAGTGAGGAAGCATGGGGAGCACAGGAACACTGCTTGAATGTCCTGCATCTGATAGCCCCTGGACAGTAGGTGCCCTGGGAACTGTGCGTTGGCCCAGCCCTCCTGTGGTGGGTGGGAGATGGGATATGTGCAGTGAGTGGGTAGTGAGGGAAGCATGGAGAGCACAGAAACCCGGCTTGAATGTCCTGTAGGGACACAGGACACGGGAAGCATCTCGTATTCCTTGAAGGGTAGGTGCACCCAAAACTGTGCATTAGCCCAACCTTCCTGTTTCAAGGTGGAGGCGGAGGGGAAGGAGGGAAGAGGGAACTTCAATGTATTGACTGCAATTGAAGAATGGGCACTGGAGAAATTGCCTTGCCTGGCAATGGGAGAACAAGAGACATGAATTTCACTTGACAAGAAAACGCAAGCTTGCCTTGAAGACGGGAGAGTGAGGGAGGGGCGAGTGAGTGAGAGGTGCATGCGTAGTGTGCTGTGCACATGATGATTGGCAGGTGGGAAGACACAAATCTTGCCTTGAAGACGCGATTGAAGTGGTCGTCCAGGCTGAAGTGAGAGAAGGGCAAGTGAGGGATGCGCGAGTGAGGGAGAGGTGCATGCATACATCGTGTGCCGTGCACATACGGCAGGTGGGAAGACTCGGATCTTGCCTTGAAGACGCGGTTGAAATGGTCATCAAGGCTGAAGTGAGAGAAGGGCGCGTTCACGTTGACTGCCATGTATGCCGCTATCTCACGCTGTAGTAATGGGGATGACAGGGGTGGGATGGGGGGGAAGAGAGGACAGCGGGTGTAAGAGTAGGATGAATTCACGTTCACTGCCATATATGCTGCTATGATGAGACTTTGAGGCCACGCCTCTTTGGGCATGGAGATACAAGGAGCTTTTGGTGCGATGCAAGTACTTGAAGAATGGCACGAGCTTGTGCAAAAATAAAGAAAGAAAACGTTAACAAACATCAACATTTCCAATATTGGTAGACAGCGTGGAAGCCACCTGGAAGCAACCAGGAACCTTCTCAATGCACCTGGTAGAAAGCGAGGTACTGGAACCGCTCATCTCCAGACGTTTGCAGCGAGAGAATGCTGTCGTAGAGCCTCACCTAAAGGGTGGAAGAAAGGGGGGGGGGGGGGGGGGGTGGGGGGGGGTGGGTGAGGGGTGATTGGCCGATTGGTAGGGAGGTGAGAGGATTGTTGTTTTGATTCGAAGGGAAGGCGGGGTGCTGAAACCTCTCATCTCCAGACGGTTGCAGAAAGAGAATGCTGTCGTAGAGCCTCACCTGAGCAGGGGGGAGGATGATAGTCAACGAAAGTCAACGCGAGTCAACTCATGGCCTGTGAGAAGACCCGCATGGCATGGATGCAGGAGGCCTCAAATCAAAGTAGGAGACTTGGAGGCGTCGACTGCAGTCAACGAAAGTCAACGCAGGTCAACTCACAGCCTGGGAAAAATCCCCCGTGGCATGGAAGCAGGAGGCCTCAAAGTATCGCAACTCCACGTTGTTTGGGTGGTGTTTCAGCCCCTCCTGCAGCAGGCGGATCACCCCCCTGCCGTGGTGGGAGAGGAAGAGAGAGACAAGATGCATGGTGGTGGGTGGGTGGTGGTAGTCACAATACAAGTGTAGCTCCACGTTGCTTGGGTGATGTTTCAGCCCCTACTGCAGCAGCTGAATCACCCCTCTGAAGGGGACAGGAAGAGAGGAGGAAACACTTTCAGAAAGGTCATTGTTTCAGCCCCTCCTGCAGCAGCTGAATCACCCCGCTGTCGCGGTGGGAGCAAGGAAATGGGGAAGGGAAACTACTTAATATTGCAGTTACGGAACCCTAGGGACAGCAAGAGGGACACAATTCAGATTTATTACGGATGGGATGGGACAGTTAAGCCTCTGCTCAAGGATTCATGCACATGCCATTCCGTGCCATGCCGTGCCGTGCCATGCCGTGCCATGCCATGCCATGCCATGCCATGCCAGTGCCCATCACCACCTGTCTGCCTGCCGTCGTCCCTCACTCACCTATGGACGCCCACGGCGTGCCTCAGAGGTTGAGGCGTCGCAAAACCCGAAACGCCTTTGAGACGTCTCATAGCAGTGGCCTGGCCATCGCTACCTGTCTGTCTGTCTGTCTGCGTGCCGCCTCGCTCACCTGTGGTCGCCCACGGCGTGCCTCAGAGGTTGAGGCGTCGCAAAACCCGAAACTCACCAGTGGTCGCAGAGCTTGAACGCCAGCAGCAAGTGTATGGTTCTCCTCTCAACCCAATCCATGCAGCACGTGCCAGGCACTTGCCAGTGCCCATAGCAGCTACCTGTCTGTCTGTCTGCGTGCCGCCTCGCTCACCTGTGGTCGCCCACGGTGTGCCTCAGCTTCGCCCACAGCTTGTACGCCAGCAGGAAGCTGTAGTGATGGGCAGGCACGGGGAGTGTGGCATGGGGGCATATGGGGAATGGGATGGGGAACGATTTTGGTTAAAATATTACAGCGCATCAGATATGGGTATTATAAGGGCCACAAATGTAGGATATGCACATGTCCCGAGTTAGCCCATCCCGATTGTCCCCCATATAAGCTGCTCCACAGTCCACTCACTCACCCACTATCCACCCCCAGAGCGCGCTTATAGCATCGCTCCGACTCGTTGAACATGGCGATTTCCTTCATTGTCTGCCCCCAGTTCGTCCACCCCTCATCATTCCCATGCAGCACCCCCCAACTCATGTATCCCCCATATACGCTGCTCCAACCACTCACCCCTTATCCACATCAAGGGCGCGTTTATAGCATCTCTCTGACTCGTTGAACATGGCGATCTCCTTCATTGTCTGCCCCCAGTTCGTCCACCCCTCCTTTACATCTGGATTCATGGCCATTGCTGTCTCATAGCTCTTCACTGCTTCAAACGGTGCCCCTGTTGCTGTCAGCGCCAAGCCCTGGAGGCAAGGGGAAGGAGAAGGGATGCGGGGGAGTTGAGAGCGGAGAGATGAGACATGGGTAATTTGTTATGGGGGGCTGCTGCACCCCTTTCATTCTGGATTTATTGCCATGGCTGTCTCGTAGCTCGTCACTGCTTCAAACTGCGCCCCTGTTGCTGTCAGTGCCAGATTCTGGAGGCAAGGGGAAGGGACACGAGAGAAGTTTGAAGGCTTGTCTTTGACAATGAGCTGAGCATACAGGAGGAGATGAGGGACTTGGCAATTCAAAGGATAAAATTTTGAGGAAGAGGTGCGGCTTGAAGAGCCGAGGGCTTAGTTATTCATGGTTCAGGGTTTTCAGGTTTGGGTTCAGGCTGAGGCTCCCTTGTTGTCATATGGGGTTTGCAGAGCCAAAGGCTCAGCTTTTCGGGGGTTTGGGCTTGAAGGTTTGGGTTTAGGCTTCTCCCTTGCCATATAAAGCTTAGGAGGAAAAGATGGGGTTTGGAAGAGCTGGGGGGGGGGGGGGGGGGGGGACCACGACCCTGTTGAGGCGCCTAAAAAACCGCAGGTAGAGAGACGACTTTGAGGAGCCCCAATAGGACTTACGAGGAAGAGGTGCGGCTTGAAGAGCTGCGGAGCCATGGCCCTGGCAGCATAGAGGTCCGGCAGCGCGCTTGAATAGGCGTTGGCGTTCACATATGCCGCTCCTGGTTGGTGGGGGAGGGGAAGAGGTCAGAACAGAAAGGTGGTTATTATAGGGCGCATCCTTAGTATGCCTACCCAACGTGCCTGGCAGGCAGCGTAGAGGCCCGGCAGCGTGCTTGAATAGGCGTTGGCGTTCACGGATGCCGCTCCTGGTTGGTGGGGGGGGACAAGGGTGGAGACAGGAGGTTAACATGGGATAGGTTGGGTGGGCATACTTGGTATGTTGACCCAACCTGGCAGCATAGAGATCAGGCAGTGTGCTCGCATAGGCATTGGCATTCATGTATGCCGCTCCTGGTTGGTGGGGGAGGGGAAGAGGTCAGAAAGGAGGTTATTATAGGGCGCATTCTTTGTATGCCAACCCAACCTGCCTGGCAGGCAGCATAGACATCCGGCAGCGCGTTTGAATAGGCGTTGGCATTCACGCATGCCGCTACCGGTTTGTGGGGGAGGGGAAGAAAGGGGATAAGAGCAGAAAGGAGGTTATTATCGAGCGCATTCTTTGTATGCCAACCCAACCTGCCTGGCAGGCAGCATAGACATCCGGCAGCGCGTTTGAATAGGCGTTGGCATTCACGTATGCCGCTACTGGTTTGTGGGGGAGGGGAAGAAAGGGGATAAGAGCAGGAAGGAGGTTATTATCGAGCGCATTCTTTGTATGCCAACCCAACCTGCCTGGCAGGCAGCATAGACATCCGGCAGCACGTTTGAATAGGCGTTGGCATTCACGCATGCCGCTACTGGTTTGTGGGGGAGGGGAAGAAAGGGGATAAGAGCAGAAAGGAGGTTATTATCGAGCGCATTCTTTGTATGCCAACCCAACCTGCCTGGCAGGCAGCATAGACATCCGGCAGCGCGTTTGAATAGGCGTTGGCATTCACGTATGCCGCTACGGGTTTGTGGGGGAGGGGAAGAAGGGGGATAAGAGCAGAAAGGAGGTTATTATAGGGCGCATTCTTTGTATGCCAACCCAACCTGCCTGGCAGGCAGCATAGACATCCGGCAGCGCGTTTGAATAGGCGTTGGCATTCACGCATGCCGCTACTGGTTTGTGGGGGAGGGGAAGAAAGGGGATAAGAGCAGAAAGGAGATTATTATCGAGCGCATTCTTTGTATGCCAACCCAACCTGCCTGGCAGGCAGCATAGACATCCGGCAGCGCGTTTGAATAGGCGTTGGCATTCACGTATGCCGCTACTGGTTTGTGGGGGAGGGGAAGAAAGGGGATAAGAGCAGGAAGGAGGTTATTATCGAGCGCATTCTTTGTATGCCAACCCAACCTGCCTGGCAGGCAGCATAGACATCCGGCAGCACGTTTGAATAGGCGTTGGCATTCACGCATGCCGCTACTGGTTTGTGGGGGAGGGGAAGAAAGGGGATAAGAGCAGAAAGGAGGTTATTATCGAGCGCATTCTTTGTATGCCAACCCAACCTGCCTGGCAGGCAGCATAGACATCCGGCAGCGCGTTTGAATAGGCGTTGGCATTCACGTATGCCGCTACGGGTTTGTGGGGGAGGGGAAGAAGGGGGATAAGAGCAGAAAGGAGGTTATTATAGGGCGCATTCTTTGTATGCCAACCCAACCTGCCTGGCAGGCAGCATAGACATCCGGCAGCGCGTTTGAATAGGCGTTGGCATTCACGCATGCCGCTACTGGTTTGTGGGGGAGGGGAAGAAAGGGGATAAGAGCAGAAAGGAGGTTATTATCGAGCACATTCTTTGTATGCCAACCCAACCTGCCTGGCAGGCAGCATAGACATCCGGCAGCGCGTTTGAATAGGCGTTGGCATTCACGCATGCCGCTACTGGTTTGTGGGGGAGGGGAAGAAAGCGGATAAGAGCGGAAAGGAGGTTATTATCGAGCGCATTCTTTGTATGCCAACCCAACCTGCCTGGCAGGCAGCATAGACATCCGGCAGCGCGTTTGAATAGGCGTTGGCATTCACGCATGCCGCTACTGGTTTGTGGGGGAGGGGAAGAAAGCGGATAAGAGCGGAAAGGAGGTTATTATCGAGCGCATTCTTTGTATGCCAACCCAACCTGCCTGGCAGGCAGCATAGACATCCGGCAGCGCGTTTGAATAGGCGTTGGCATTCACGCATGCCGCTACTGGTTTGTGGGGGAGGGGAAGAAAGGGGATAAGAGCAGAAAGGAGGTTATTATCGAGCGCATTCTTTGTATGCCAACCCAACCTGCCTGGCAGGCAGCATAGACATCCGGCAGCGCGTTTGAATAGGCGTTGGCATTCACGTATGCCGCTACGGGTTTGTGGGGGAGGGGAAGAAGGGGGATAAGAGCAGAAAGGAGGTTATTATAGGGCGCATTCTTTGTATGCCAACCCAACCTGCCTGGCAGGCAGCATAGACATCCGGCAGCGCGTTTGAATAGGCGTTGGCATTCACGCATGCCGCTACGGGTTTGTGGGGGAGGGGAAGAAGGGGGATAAGAGCAGAAAGGAGGTTATTATAGGGCGCATTCTTTGTATGCCAACCCAACCTGCCTGGCAGGCAGCATAGACATCCGGCAGCGCGTTTGAATAGGCGTTGGCATTCACGCATGCCGCTACTGGTTTGTGGGGGAGGGGAAGAAAGGGGATAAGAGCAGAAAGGAGGTTATTATCGAGCGCATTCTTTGTATGCCAACCCAACCTGCCTGGCAGGCAGCATAGACATCCGGCAGCGCGTTTGAATAGGCGTTGGCATTCACGTATGCCGCTACGGGTTTGTGGGGGAGGGGAAGAAGGGGGATAAGAGCAGAAAGGAGGTTATTATAGGGCGCATTCTTTGTATGCCAACCCAACCTGCCTGGCAGGCAGCATAGACATCCGGCAGCGCGTTTGAATAGGCGTTGGCATTCACGTATGCCGCTACTGGTTTGTGGGGGAGGGGAAGAAGGGGGATAAGAGCAGAAAGGAGGTTATTATGGGGCACATTCTCTTCTTGGTATGTTGACCCAACCTGGCAGCATAGAGGTCAGGCAGCGCACTCGCATAGGCATTGGCGCTCACATATGCCGCTCCTGCGAGAGGAGGAGCGGCGGAAGGGGTGGGAATGGAAGGGAAGTTACTAGGCTAGCATAGCATGGTATGGGTTGGGTCGGCATTCTCGGTATGCTGACTCAACCCGGTAGCATAGAGTCTGGCAGTCCTCTCTCATAGGCTTTGGCGTTCACGTATGCGGTTCCTGCAGAGAAAGGGGGAAGGAGGCTGGGTGAGAGCAGAAGGAAGGTCAGCAAGGTATGAGTTAGTTTGGCATTCATGCTACGCTATGCCGACCCAACCTGGCCGCATAAGGTCTGGCAGCGAACTCGCAGAGGCGTTGGCGTTCGTTTTGAGGCGCCTCAAAACTAGACTCGCAGGGGCGTTGGCGTTCGTTCACATACGACGCTCCTGCGTGGGGGGAGAGGGAGAGGGCGAGGGAGGAAGGGGCGGGGGAAGGAGGGGCGGGGAAAGAGGGGGCAGGGAAAGAGGGTGAAAACAGAAGAAAGCATGAGATTCTTTCAGGTTGGGTTGAAATACACGATTCAATCGCCAACCCCCTGGAGAGACGCTTCAATGTCTACTGTCGCCTTGGCATCGGTAAACTCTCTAGTGTCACGTCCCTATGCTCACCTCTCTCTCCCTACCCTGTTCTCACCCTAAGTTGCAATAAACGCTCAGGCCTGTTTGCGTTTAGCGGATATCCGCTTGCGTATACACGCAACACGCTATACGCAAGCGAATCCGCTATACGCTCGGCAAATTTGTTTTGGGGCAGCCCGGGCGGAAAAAAAAATGAACATACGGAAAAATGCGGAATTTCACGACGTGCGTTTTGCCGAAGGCGAATTGCACGAACGTGACTTGTCCAATCGTGGACGTGGGTTCAACCCACGTAGTCGAGATTGGTTGTGTCAATTTGTCAAGTCGCGTTTTCACGTACACACTTTGTGCGCTCTGTTTGTTACCGCATTGAATCCCCTCCCATCTACTCACTCCAACCAAATGTCCCAATGTTCCCTTCTCTCGTTGTGCTACTCAGTGGGTTGCAAGCAACTACGCAATTCATCAGTTCCCCGTCTCTTTCGTAATGTCTAGCCCGCCATGCACACCGCCATCCGTTCAGACAGTGCAGAGTTCTCGGATTGTTCGACCTGAGGGTAGGGATTACCTTCCTGGCATGCCGGAACACGCTGTCTTCAAACATTTCAGCCTCATTGTGCGGGAAGAAGGCAAAGCACAGCAGTACGAGTGTAAGTACTGCTTCAATTTTTTCACCGGTGCAGCCATTCGTTGCGCGCAACACCTGAGCTCGTGGAAGGGAATGAAGCGTCGCGAGGTGACGCTTTGCAAAGAGGCACCGCAAGACGTACGCAACGAGATGCGCACCAAATACAAAAAGATGGCTGCCGCGATCGAGGAAAAGCGCCGAGCAACATCTGCTGCAGTTGCGGCAGTACAGGCTGGCGGAGGGAAGCGGCGCATAACCGACTACTTGGAGGGAGATGCCTCTGCGGCTAAGCGGGATGCTCACGAGGGCCTTGCGCTGATGTTTGCGGCCTGCAGAATCCCGGAGGTCACCATGGACCACCCGCTGTTCATCAACGCCATGCTGCTCGTCAACCGCACCGGCAACGGCTACGTCCCCCCCAGGAGGACTTTCATTGGCGGGGCTGGACTGGTCGCTGTCCGCAAAGGGATTGAGCAGGGGCTGGTGGGGATTAAATCGAGCTGGAAGAAGACGGGGGTAACAATTGCGTCCGACATGATGACGGACAAATGTGGGAGGGCGCAAGCGAACGTGCTTCTGATCAACGACTCCGGCGCCGTCTTCAGGGAGGCGATCGACTGCGGTATGGAGCGGAAGACGGGGGGATACATAGCGGGGATTCTGCAGCCGGTGGTGGAGGAGGTAGGACCAGAAAATGTCGTCGCGTTTTGTATGGATGGGGGGTCGAACTATGCCGTGGCTGTCCAGGAGCTGATTGCCAAGTGGCCCCACATTCAGCAGGTCCCTTGTGCCACGCATGTGATGGATCTCCTCCTGGAGGACGTGGGAAAGATGGGGTGGGCAAAAGGGGTGGTGGATCGGACTGGGGAGATGAGTTCGTTCGTTCGCAACCATCATTGGACGCGCGCTTACCTGAGGACCAAGGAGTTGGTGGAGGGGAAGGTGCTGCAGCCGCTGAAGCCAGCAGGAACACGGTTCGGGACACAATACATTGCTGTGTCCCGCCTTGGTCAGTTGCGTAGCACCCTCAACGCGATGGTGCTTTCCGACAGGTGGAAGGAGTGGGCCTCGGGGTCGCGGAAGGAAACTGCCGAGGCCTTTGCTGCACGGGTCCTCGATGACGCATGGTGGCGGACGGCAGAATTCTTCTGCAAGTTGATGCAACTGCCCTACAAGGCGATGCGGCAGATTGACGCAGATGCCAATGGGATGATGGGCCGGCTCTACGATGTAATGCTGCAGCTTACCGAGGATGTCAACAACATCTGGACGAGGATGAGCAGCAGCTGAGTAGCGCGGACAAGGAAAAGATCCGCAGCATCATCAAGGACCGCTGGGATAACTACCTCGCCTGCGCCATGCACGTTGCTGGCCGAATCCTCAACCCCGCCAACCAGGAGGAGGATATCTTTGGCAGCGACGCCGAATGCACCCGGGTTTTCAAGGCGTTAATCAACCAGCACGTGGAGTTCCTCATCGGCAATGACGGGAAGGGGAGGGATGAGGGTCCAGATTACTTGCTTGCCTTGGGTGACGGGCTGAGGGCTTTCTTGGACATGAAAGGCAGTTTTGGGATGCCGGAGGCGCTTGCACAAAGGGAGAAGGTGAAGGCGGGTAAGTACAGCATGGTGAAGTGGTGGCAGTGGAACGGCACAGATGCACCTCACCTGATGCGCTTCGCCGTGAGGGTGCTATCTCAGCCTGTATCGGCATTCCCTTGTGAGCGTGGGTGGGGAACTTGGGATGCTGTCCACACAGCCCGCCGGAACTGCCTCGGATCTGCAAAGTGCCAGGACCTGGTTTTTGTTGCGCACAACTGGAATGTTGTGCGCAACTGGCACTCGCGCGCAGATGTAATGCCGAAGGTTGTGCCAGGGATTGGGGACGAGCCTCCTATTCCCGAGGGGTACAACGGGTTGGATGAGACGGAGGTGGAGGAGGAGGAAGGCGACGATGACGTCCTGGAGGACGAGTACGCTTAGAACTAGGGTGGCAGGAGAGTATTAGTGACATGTGTGTGTGTATGTATGGTGTCGTAATCTTATTATGAGGAAAAAAAAACTGTGTTGCAAAACCCCCAAAATGCCTCACCCCTCCCCCCCCCCCCCCCAAACATCCCCAAGTGGTTTTTTTTTCCCTGCCCGGGAAAGTTTTTTCCCTGCCCGGAAAAGCGTATTCCAAAGTCGGCCCCCAAGCGGATAGCGTGCATACGCTAGCGTATATACGATAAGCGTATATACGCTATAAGCGTATATACGCTATAAGCGTATATTGCAACTTAGTTCTCACCTCGTTCCTGTCTGGCTGCTGCATCATTCGGATCCATTTCAATCACAGCCGTCCAATCAGCGATGGCCTGCAGGATTGGGGGTTGGGTGGTTGAAGAATAGTCAAAACTCAATCAGCAATGGCGCGCAGAATGGTGAGTGTGCATATGGCCACGAGAGAAAAGAATGTGGGGTGGGTGGGGTTGTAACTTGTAGTTGATAACTTATACCTCTAATGCAAGGTAGAAGAGTTGTTTGTTCCTTGCATTGAACACACGAAAAAAAATTGTATCTCCCGGCCACATACACGGCAATTACAACGCACGAGAACCAGGCTTCAGCACATATACACGCCCCACCACACACATACCTCCTTGTGACTTCTGAGAATTCTCAAAAGTCACTCCAATATAGCTGGCCTACAAATCCCTCCGGTTCTGGTGTGTTGGAAGTTACCTGCACGAGAACCAGGCTTCAGCACATATACACGCCCCACCACACACATACCTCCTTGTGACTTCTGAGAATTCTCAAAAGTCACTCCAATATAGCTGGCCTACAAATCCCTCCGGTTCTGGTGTGTTGGAGTTACCTGCACGAGAACCAGGCTTCAGCACATATACACGGCCCACCACACACATACCTCCTTGTGACTTCTGAGAATTCTCAAAAGTCACTCCAATATAGCTGGCCTACAAATCCCTCCGGTTCTGGTGTGTTGGAAGTTACCTGCACGAGAACCAGGCTTCAGCACATATACACGCCCCACCACACACATACCTCCTTGTGACTTCTGAGAATTCTCAAAAGTCACTCCAATATAGCTGGCCTACAAATCCCTCCGGTTCTGGTGTGTTGGAAGTTACCTGCACGAGAACCAGGCTTCAGCACATATACACGCCCCACCACACACATACCTCCTTGTGACTTCTGAGAATTCTCAAAAGTCACTCCAATATAGCTGGCCTACAAATCCCTCCGGTTCTGGTGTGTTGGAAGTTACCTGCACGAGAACCAGGCTTCAGCACATATACACGCCCCACCACACACATACCTCCTTGTGTCGGCCCACCACACACATACCTCCTTGTGTCGGCCCACCACACACATACCTCCTTGTGTCGGCCCACCACACACATACCTCCTTGTGTCGGCCCACCACACACATACCTCCTTGTGTCGGCCCACCACACACATACCTCCTTGTGTCGGCCCACCACACACATACCTCCTTGTGTCGGCCCACCACACACATACCTCCTTGTGTCGCCCCAAGATCCCAAGCACCGACGCTCGTTGCCTCAGAATCTGCCCTGCCTTGGGAGCCTGCTCTAGAGCCTGTTGGGGGTCGGGAGTGGATGGAGGAAATGAAAGGGCTGAAAGGGGTTTGAGTGAGTTGGAATCACCCCATGGTGATCCCAAGCACCGACACTCTTTGCCTTAGAATCTGCCCTGCCTTGGGAGCCTGCTCTAGAGCCTATGGGGGGTGGTGGGGGAGGGGGGAGAAAAGGAAGAGGTTAAAGAGTGTGGTCTGTGTCCATAAACATCAACCCAAGGTCTTTCCAAGCACCGACGTTTGCTGCCTCAGAATCTGTCCTGCGTTTGAAGCCTGCTCTAGAGCATATGGGAGTTGCAGAAGAATGGAAGAAAGGGGGGCTGGGGAAAGGGGTGAATGAAACGAAGGGGTTGGAAAGAGTTTGAAAGTCCATTGAAATCACCCAGCAGCACCACACACACACCGTGTTTCATTCGCTGTGTTCCTCAGCATACTGCTCTGTAAAGGCAAGCGCAATTCCAGAGTCAAGTGAAGAGTCCAGCATCAACAGACAGTCCCCGCACCCCCCTCCTCCCCTCCGTCCCCCCCCCTCACCCTTCTCACAGTCCTTGCTGGAGTAACTGAGGGTTTTCGTCATAGTTCTCTGCAAAGGCATGTATCATTCCTGAGTCGACTTGACATGACACTAGAGGATTCAGCAGCAGAAGACAGCCCTGAACACACACATGCACACCTTGTTGAAGTCGCTGAGAGCTTCCTCATACTGCTCTGCAAAGGCATGCTTCCCCCTCTCCCCCCATCCCCCCCCCCAAACCCACCTCCCCCCCTTCTCTCATCCCACCCACACACACACACAGACACACACACACACGCACACACACACACGCACACCTTGTTGAAGTCGCTGAGAGCTTCCTCATACTGCTCTGCAAAGGCATGCTTCCCCCTCTCCCCCCATCCCCCCCCCAAACCCACCTCCCCCCCTTCTCCCATCCCACCCACACACACACACACAGACACACACACACACGCACACACACACACGCACACCTTGTTGAAGTCGCTGAGAGCTTCCTCATAGTGCTCTGCAAACGCGTGTGCCATGCCACGCCACGCCAGCAGCACCACCGTCTCTTGCGCTCCACTCTCCTGCAACTGCAGTGTGAGAGGGAGGGAGGGGGGTGAAGGGGACAGGGATGGCAGAGGGAAGGCGTGATGGAGGGGGGAGGTGAGGATTGCGAGAGGGGGCAGCACCATTGTCTCCTGTGTTCCACTCTCCTGCAGAGGCATGCGAGAGGGAGGGGCGTGAGGTGTGTGAGGGGGTTGATGAGAGGAGAGGGGAAGAGGGGAGCGTGATGAGAGGAGCATGATTGGGGCAGGGAAGGGGAAACGAGTGAGTAGAAGAGAGGAGGATGGGAGTGGGGGATGTAGGGTTGAGCAAAAAAACGAACACCTGTTCGGTTCGCCTCGAACGTGTTCGAGGCGAACCGAACAGGTTTTTTTTTTGGCTTAAAATGTTCGCCGAACAGCGTTCGATGTTCGCCCGAACACGTTCGTGTTCGGGCCGCTGCTGCAATTTGCCCGCGACGAACACGAACAGTGTTCGAGGTTCGCCCGAACACGCCTTCACAGGCGAACGGCGAACACCATTTTTTGCTCAAAGTGTTCGCCGAACCGAACAGTGTTCGGTTCGGCAAACGAAGGTGTTCGTGTAGGGGCGAACACGAACACGTTCGTGTTCGCCACTTGCTCATCCCTAGGGGGATGGATGGAGGTGAATGCGTGCAGTGGATGCATGTGGGGTGGGATGACATGGGATGGGTATGGGATGACATGGGATGGGCATGGGATGACATGGGATGGGCATGGGATGACATGGGATGGGCATGGGATGACATGGGATGGGCATGGGATGACATGGTACGAGGTCGAATATATTTTTCTATGCAGGAAGAGGAACCACGTGTAGAAAGTAGATTTTTGAGACGTCTCAAAAAAAATCTATGCAGGAGGAGGAACCACGGCATGACTTTTGAGTCGACTCAAAAGTCGAATCTATTTTCTATGCAGGAGGAGGCATGACTTTTGAGTCGACTCAAAAGTCGTATCTATTTTCTATGCAGGAGGAACCACGGCATGAATTTTGAGTCGACTCAAAAGTCGAATCTATTTTCTATGCAGGAGGAGGAATCACGGCATGACTTTTGAGTCGACTCAAAAGTCAAATCTATTTTCTATGCAGGAGGAGGAACCACGGTATGACTTTTGAGTCGACTCAAAAGTCAAATCTATTTTCTATGCAGGAGGAGGAACCACGGCATGACGTGTGTGTGTGGCATGGTTCTGAAAAATGGAGAATGACATGACATGGCAAAGGAAAGCACAGCACAACACGACACAGCAGAGCACCGCACAACACCGCACAGCACCGCATAGCACGGCACAGTACAGCACGGCACAGCACCGCACTGCACCGCACGGCACCAGACAGCACAGAACGGGGTACCTTGGCAAAGATGGGGAAGGCGTTCTTATGGTCGCCCATTTGCACCTGCCAAGGGGTAAGGGAGGGATGGATGCGGGTTGGGTTGGCTGAATGATTGACTCGCCCAATCGTAGATGGGGAAGGCGTTCTTATGGTCGCCCATTTGCACCTGCCAAGGGGTAAGGGAGGGATGGATGCGGGTTGGGTTGGCTGAATGATTGACTCGCCCAATCGTAGATGGGGAAGGCGTTCTTATGGTCGCCCATTTGCACCTGCCAAGGGGGAACGAGCGAGGCATGGCCCAGAGGCGGGTGGATTATCAAGTCGAGTACTAGGAGATGGGGAAGCAGCTTCTGTGGTCGCTTAGGGAGCATGCGATTGTTTATGAAGTTCATATAACGAGGATGATGAGGGTGATGATAACGGGAGCACGTATAAAAAGACGTGCAATGCGGAGGAGATTGAACAAAGATTAGCAAAAAGAAGACGTGTGATAAATGAAGTAGGAAACGGTGATTGCACAAGAATGAGACACCAGTAAGTGGGAGGAGGAAGCAGAGTATAGACGCACGCACACACACACACACACACACACACACACACACACACACACACACACACACACACACTCACTCCCATACCATGGAAGCAACGGTTCAACCCCATCCCACCACATCAGGCCACCACCATATCACCACACCAATTCACCTCCATCGCATCATACCAGCCTAATAGCTGCTTCCAGCGCAGATGCTTCATCAAACGTTGAATCCTTCTTCCCTCCTCCTCCCCTCCCACCACCTCGTCTACCCTCCTCCCTCACACCAGTCCCCTGACCTCCCTTCCATCTCTCACTCCTCTCCTCCTCACCCCTCCCCTTCCTTCTCTCCTCACTCCCCTCCCCTCGCCCCTGCCGCCCCTGTCGTCCCTGCCTCCCCTGCCGCCCTGCAGATGCCTCCTCTTCCTGCTTCCTCCTCTCCCTTTCCCTCTCCTGTTCTTCCCTCCTCTGGCTTCTTCTCTCCCTCCTAGATCGCCCACTCCTTTCACCCACACTACTCTCTTCCTCCTCAGCCCCTCTTCTACTCTCCTTCCCCCTTCCCTCCCTCCCACTACTACCCCTGCCTCTGCCAACCACTCCCTCCCCACTGAATGGCATCGTTTGTCTGCTAGCCCTTCGGGCAGCTCTATCAGCACGCCTGCTTCGTTCCCGGCTGAACTCAACACACAGAGCAGCTTCGTTGCCAGCAGCAGCAGCGGCAGCAGCAAGAGCAGCTGGGGAGGGGAAGCCCTCGTTATTATCACCCTCGCCATCCTCGTTATAGGCCTCATCGCCAGGGGTGGGGGCGCTTTGGAGAGGGGAGGAGGAATCAGAAGCGGGAGAGTGGAGGAAGGACGAGGCAGGTGGTAGCGCGAACAGAGAAACGTCTGGGGGAGACGTGGATGGTGGAGAAGAGGGAGAAGGGGGGAGGGCGAGGGGGACGGGGGGAGGAAGAGGGAGACGTGGGGAGGAAGAGAGTTTAGAGAAAGTTCTAAGTCGACTCAAAAAGCAGGTGAGGTGGTAAGGCAAGGAGAAAGACGTCACTGGGCTGGGGAGAAGTGGATGGTGAGGGGAAGAGGGAGATAGGTTGGACGGATGACAGGGAGATGGATTTTGTTCAAGAAGAGAAGATCAGAAAAGAGATTAAGAGGAAAGATAGAAGTTCCTTTTTTTTTTTCATGCTGCAGGCAAGAAGGCAGTGTGCCCTTGGTTCATGGAGGCGAGAAAGAAGGCTGTGTGGAGCATCCCATGCCCATCCCATAGCGTTCTTTCTCGCCCTGCATTGCTCTCTGCTCGGACCCTCCCTGTATAATTTTTAGCATCCCCACAAACACACTCTCCCACGCACTCATTTTCCCTGTAGACACACTCCCTCCTTTCTCTCCTTACCCGTCCGTTCCCCAAACATCCCCTCTCTGCTCACCCGATTTGAGGAAGGGCGAGGGACACGTGGCACGCCATGGGCTACCCTGCAGCATCCCCTCACTCCATGGCTCGGACAAAGACAACGGCGCACGACCAATCACAGGCAGCCAGCTGGCGGATAAGGATTACGGTAAGCGGGGAAGTGGGTATGGGGGAGGGAGAGGAGGTCATGATGACGTAAGATGGGTCGGCAGAACTGGAATGGAGGGTTACAACCTACAGCCGGGGTGTGAGGGCAACATCAGGGGGTCTGTCCTTCCTCTCTACCTTTTCACCTAAGGCGGAACGGCAGAACTATGTGACGACAGCGAGACACGATGCATCCTCGTTGACTAACCACGCGGCATGTCCACATTCAGCGTACCGACTTCACTAGTGCGAAGCGATTGAGTCCAGATACGATTTATCGGTCCAGGTACGACGTTCCAGCCCGGTTTGCTGAACCTAGCTTTCGAAATTGACTCAGTTGACTTTCTTGACCCGTTTCAAAGGTACTCGAGACTTCTTTAACGTGTTGGCCTATTACGCCTCCCCCACCAGCAGTCGTGAGCGCACGCGACGAGATAAGAGACCGAGCTTAACGGAGCCGCTGATGAAGGGGATAACCTGTGACACCTACCCACCTCAACTGGCCAGCGACACTCTGAAAGTCGCGCATTGTCGCAGCGAGTGCGCTCGTCGCGCGAATAGATACCCGCTCGCCGCATTCTGCCGGAGAGGACGACGCGACGACTGTGCGTGCGACAGGCGCGGAGCCTGCGACGGTGTCGGCGGCCGAAGGGGACGCTCGGTACAAATGACAGAGCGTCAGGTTGAGCGAGAGACAGATAAACGACGCCGCGGCTGTCGCGATAGAGACGCCCATTGCTGGCGTTGTGAATGGCGGTACTGATTAGGAACACAGTTCAGCGCATCCCTGATTTTTACCCTGCTGCTCCTACTAACACGGGACCACCATCTAAACCTTCCACTCCAGTCCAGTCAAGATAATCCTATCTGGAAGTGACGATTTGCCTGCGCAAAATTTTGTTGGAAAGGCTCTTGTGTAAAAGAAAAGGTGTTAGAGCTGGTGATTGACCCTCGATAAGCAATATCGGGTTGCCCTGTACTGCACCATTCTCAACCCCAGCCCCTCCACAATGTACACCCTATTTCTCAACTGTTCCTAATATCTGAACAAATGGGAAAAGCAAGAGGTGGAAGTTGGCATGTGGAAATTTCATGCGATCGCCACTGGCGGACACGTCCCGGGAACCAACGAGAGAAGAGGCTGCAAGGGAGCGAATATTCTTCAACCGCCGCATCTTGCTGAACGGCAGGACACCGGTGGGAGGACAGAAAGCCGCGACGAAGCTATGGGAGGTCCGCCTAAGTGACTTACTGGCAACGGACGATGCGGGAGGCTGGAGGGTCAAGAATTCTGAAACCCTCGTAAGGGAGCTGAAGGGGAAAGCCGAGGCAAATTTAGCCCTCCGGGCTTGGGAGGCTGTCCCGCAAGAGTGGAAATCGCTGCGGAGTGTAGGGACACGTCAAGTCTTGGACAGTTATTTATTGTACTTCCTATTGCTGAAAAAAATCTACTTCCTACTGCTGAAGGATTGCCACACTCTGTGGGCAATGCCGGTCGCTAAGAAGAGCGATGTGCTGCGGGAGTCCCAACAGTGGCTGGTGCTGGTAGAGCAGCAGACAAAGAAAACGGTGCTGATGCTTCGCTCAAACCGAGGAGGGGAGTTCCTCAGGAAGGCGTTCACCGACTTCGTCAACGGGAAGGGCATTGTCCACGACATGATGTGCCCCTACACTCCGCAGCAGAATGCCATGGCTGAGCGTAGCTTTGCTTAGTTCCTTAGTGCTTGCACATTCACGGGAGAAATTGGCAAGACTTTCCACTAGGCACAGTCGAAATTACAGAATGATTGAACAAGCAATGACTACATCAGGCACCTAGCAACTCGGCAGCTAGCCTGGTCGACCGCCAGCTCAGCTTGGTCGACCGCCTGCCAGCGTTGCGTAGAGGAGTCGTGCCAGCACTGCAGAAGAGCGACATGCCAACACTGCAGGTCGACAGCATGCCAACGCTACAGCAAAGTGGCAGTCCAGCATTGCCCCGTAAAAGACAGCAGTGCGCACGCTCGCATGTGCGTGCAGACGATTCATTCGACTTGCATTGTTTTGCATCCGTCGCCTGTTGTCTACGGGATACCAACCCGAAGTCGCCTTCACCACCGCGACCTCGACGACGTTCGCGTGCCTCCGCGGAACTCGTCGAACAAGTTACCTGGTCAACCTGGACACCACCAGGCGCTCTGGTCGACCACCAAGTGCCTTTGGTCGACCACCGGGTCCTTCTGGTCGACCACCAGATCCCTCTGGTCGACCACCAAGTGCCCCTGGTGGACCACAGCTCCCGTCGAGCTACCTCCTGGTCGACGGACCCCTTCCGTCGCCGAGCTTCCCTCGTCGACCACTACTTACTTGTCAGGTCGACGGACTGCTCCGTCGACCTCCTGATCGAACTGCAGGTCGACGGACTGCTCCGTTGACCTCCCAGTCGAACTGCAGGCCTACGGACTGCTACGTCGACCTCCCAGTCGAACTGCCCATCCTGGTCGACGGCCCACCCATCGCCCAGACTAGTCATTTGCAGCTGTTGAGCTCCCTGGTCGATGTGAGAGTACGACGCCTTATGCCAGCTATGCTTGCTTGCCTTACTTGATTATGCTATTTCTAGCATAGGATAATTATATGCATGCATGAATTGTTTGATTTCCTAGGCTAGGTGCTTTCCTATATTTTATTTTAGTTATAGCACCGAGCTAGGTTGCGTGCACTGAATTCTGGCTTTTCCGTTGCCACCGAATTGCCTGTCAGAATGTTATGTTTGTCTAGCCTGCAGTGGGGTACTCAATAGTGAGTACAACCCAATTTAGGGTTTGCTATATGTACTCAACTGCTTGCTAGTGAACTCCCTCCTCATTCTTCACATGGTATAGAGCAGGTTCTTTAGTGGGAACGCTTCCTTGGGCCCACCACTGAAAATTTCCTTTCTGACCGGAGCGCCAGTCGCTCCTGCCCGAGGCGCGCCTTTTTGCCGCCCTTTCCAGGCCCCTAGTGGCCCCTAGCGGCCTCGTCGCCGCCCCTAGCGGGCCCGTTACCGCCCCTACGCGGCCCCGTCGCCGCCCTTAGCGGCCCCGTCGCCGCTCGTAGCGGCCCCGTCGCCGCCCTTAGCGGCCCCGTCGCCGCCCTTAGCGGCCCCGTTGCCGCCCTTAGCGGCCCCGTCGCCGCCCTTAGCGGCCCCGTCGCAGCCCTTAGCGCCCCCGTCGCCGCCCCTAGCAGCCCCGTCACCGCCTCTCACCCTACGCGGCCCCGTCGCCACCCCTAGCGGTCCCGTCGCCGCCCCTAGCGGTCCCGTCGCCGCCCCTAGAGGCCTCGTTGCTGCCCTTCGCGGCCACGTCGCCGCCCTTCGCGGCCCCGTCGCCGCCCCTAGTGGCCCCGTCGCCGCCTCTACCGGCCCCGTCGCCACCTCTAGCGGCCCCGTCGCCGCCTCTACCGGCCCCGTCGCCGCCCCTATCGACCCTGTCGCGGCCGTGTCGCGGCCCTGCCCCGACCGTGTCGCGGCCCTGCCCCGGCCTTGCCCCGGCCCCGCCCCGGCCATGCTCCGTCGCCCGGCGCGGCGCACTAGGGACCCGTGCACCGCCCCTCCCCCTCTTTTCCCGTCGCCTGTCGAGGCAACCTGAGGGGGCCGACCGGGGGGGGGGGGGGCGAACGTCGCCCCCTCTGCCGCCTGCTTTTGCGCCCTGGGAGGCCGCGCGTCGGCCCCCCCCTTCCCCCCCCCCCTCCCCCCCCCCCCCCCCCCCGCCCCGTAACCTCCCTACCCGCCATCCCGCCCTGCCCTGTGTTAGGGTTTGGGGGTGGCGAGTAGGGGGTGGCGGGTGTGTGGTCTCCCCTGCTCCTCCTCTGTCTCCCACTGCTGCAGCTGCCGCTGAGGGGGGTGGGTGTGTGGGAGTCGGCAGAGTGGTGCTAGGGGGTGGGGTTGTCAAACATTATATATTGTTGTAGTTGTTTAGGCTACAGTGGGTTAGCCTTTAGGGGGTACACACTTCTAGGTTTCCATATTTGTACCCATTTCATTCTTAGTCATTCCATTCCTTGTTCAACATGGTATAGAGCAGGTCCTTCCTAGGACCGTTTTTCCTAAGGGCCCACCACTACCTACCTGCCTATCTGCCTACCTGCCCTAGGGCGCCTCGACGTTCATGCCTCTAGAGGCCCTGTAGGCCCCGCGCTGTTGCACCTAGAGGCCTCGAATCGGCCCCGCGCCTAACCCTAACGGCCCGCGTCGGCCCCGAGCTCGTCCCCTAGAGGCCCGCGTCGGCCCCGCGCCTACCCTAGAGGCCCGCGTCGGCCCCGAGCCTACCCCTAGAGGCCCGCGACGGCCCCGTCCTTACCCCTAGAGGCCCGCGACGGCCCCGTCCTTACCCCTAGAGGCCCGCGACGGCCCTGTCCCTACCCCTAGAGGCCCGCGACAGCCCCGATCCTACCCCTAGAGGCCCGCGTCGGCCCCCGATCCTACCCCTAGAGGCCCGCGTCGGCCCCCGTCCCTACTCCTAGAGGCCCGCGTCGGCCCCGTCCCTACCCCTTACAGCCCGCGTCGGCCCCGTCCCCAACCCCACCCGCTCCCCGCACTCCCCTTAGCCGCCTCAAACGGCCCCACCTAGACCGCGCCGCCCGCACCGAACAGCGCGGCCCTAACGGAACCGAGCCGCCCGAACCGAGCCGCCCGACCCGAGCCGCGCCGCCCGACCCGAGCCGCCCGAACCGAGCCGCGCCGCCCGACCCGAGCCGCGCCGCCCTACCTATACCGAGCCGCGCCGCCCTACCTGTACCGAGCCGCGCCGCCCTACCTACCTACTGCTCCTGCTGTTTTTACTACTGCTACTACCATGGCTAGCCCTCTAGTGCTAGCCTTTGATGCTGAGGGGCACCCAGTGAAGTTCGACACCTGGCTTGATGACCTACACCTCTTCCTACAGCTC